GACAACATGGATAAACCTGGAGGACATTGCGCTGAGTTAGGTCAGACACAGAAAGACAAATACTGTATGATCTCATGAGTATGTGAAATCTAAAATAGTCAAGCCCATTGTAGTGAAGAGTAGAAGGGGCATTGCTGGGGGTTGACAGTGCGGGGGAAACAGGTCTTGTCAAATGGTACAAAGGTTCAGATGTGCAGGATGAACAAATTCTGGAGGTCTGATGTACAGCATGGTGAGTATAGTTAATAATACTGTGTTGTACACTTGAAATTTTCACACACACACACAAATGTAACTATGTGAGGTGATGGATATGTCAATTAGCTTGATTTTGGTAATCATTTCACAATATATGTACATATCAAGACATCATGTTATACATCTTAAATATATACCATTTTTACTTGTCAAGTATACTCAGTGATGCTGGAATCAATCAATCAAAATTGTAGAAATGAGATACCCTTTCCTATGCCCTTCAGTGGGAGAACAAGTAAACAAATGTGGTCCTTGCAATGGAAAACTACTCAGCAATAAAAAGGAATGCACTATTGGTACACAACAATATGGGTGAACATCAAAGCTTTATATTGAATAAAAGAAGCTTTTCTCCAAACGCTACATACTTCATGATCCCATTAGGTGCTTTCTCAAAAACAAAACAGTGTTGCTAGGAGTTAGGGGGTGTGTGAGGAGACAATGAAGGTATTTCAGGGGTTGATGGAACTTCTCAATATTCTGCCTGTAGTGGTGGTTACACAGTCTGTACATGTGTTAAATTTGATATAACTATGCCAAAAATAAATAAACAAATATCAATGGATAATAATTAAACAAAAGTCAAAGTAATCTGAAAAATACAATTATTGGTTGACAGGTTTTCTTTCTTTAACACTTTAAAAATTTTGCTCCTCTGTCTTCTGGCATCCTTCGTTTCTGAGGACAAATCAGTAGTCATTTCAGTCTATCCATTTGAAATGTGTTCTTTCCACTTTGGCTATTTTCATCATTCCCTTTGTATTTAAATATTTTGATATAATGTTCCTAGATGTGATTTCCTTCATATTTCTTCTGCTAGGTGTTTATGAGATTCCAAAATCTGTAACTATAAATATTTTTCTGAATTAAAAATAATTTTGTCCCATTCTGTCTCTTCTACTTTCAGAATTCTAGTTACATGCATGTTAGGCCATAGCTCATACAGATTTCTGATACTATATTTATTTTTATTTAACCTTTTTTTCTCTTTGTTCTGATTGGTTAATGCTTTCCATTCTTATTTTTGTTCTACCATTAATTAGGAACCTACAAATAGGAAAGTATAGATAGACAAATGCCCCTTCAAGCCCTACCCTAGTTCCCTCAGTTATTAACATCTTGCCTAATTTAGACTTGGTATATTGTATATTTTCAGAAAGGTATCCATTTCTTCCAGGTTACTCAATTTTTTGGAGTATAAATGTTCTTAATATTCTCTTAGGATATTTTATAGGTCTGTGGCATCAGGTGTAGTGTCTCCTCTTTCATTTCTGATTTTATTTATTTGAGTCTTCCCTCTTTCTTGGCCTACCTAAACTTTTGACAATAGTGTTGGCCTTTCCTAAAACCTGATTTTAGTTTTACTATTTTTCCATTGTTTTTCTGTTCCCTATTTTATTTACCTCTCCTCTAAACTTCATATTTCCTTCTTTCATCTAACTTTAAGCTCTGTTTATATTTATCTTAGTTCTATGAGGTAAGTTGTTTATTTCAAATACTTCTTAATGTAGGCATTTATCCCTATAAACTTTCTTCTTAATACAGATTTTGCTGTATCTTACACATTTTTGTATGCTGTGTTTCTATTTTCATTTGTTTCAAGAAACTTTTAAACTTATATTTAGCTTTGGCACATTGGTTGTTGAGGAATATGCTGTTTAATTTCCACATATTTTTTGAGTTTTCCAATTTTCCTTTGGTCATTGATTTCTTTTTCTTTCTTTTTTCCTTTTTATTGAAATTATTGGGGTGACACTGGTAAACAAAATAATTATATGTAAATAGGTACATTATATGTATATGTATACATAGGTACATTATATACCTATATATGTATATGTATCTATAGGTACATTACATATATAATAAGTAACTCCATTTTTAGTGTTTTTTGAGGAAACTCCACACTGGTTTCCACAGAATTCAGGTGCACAATTTGTACACTACAGTGTGTGTTCACCACCCCAAATCAAGTCTCTGTCCATCACCGTTTATCCCCCCTATAGCTGTCTGTACCCCCAACCCCTAGCAATCACCATACTGTTGTTCATGTTCATGTTTTCTCTCTTTTTCTTTTCTTTTTAAAATATTGTTGGTACTGTTACAGATGTCCCTCATTCTCCCCTCCTTTGCCTCTGCTCCCCCTTCTGGCCTTTACCACATTGTTATCCATGTCCATGAGCTATACACATATACATATATATTCTTTGGCTAATCTCTTCCAGTGCCCCCATAACCCTCCCCTCTGAGATCTGTCAGTTTGTTCCATGTATCCACGCCTCTGGTTTTATTTTGTTCATCAGTTTATTTTTTCATTCAATTCCACATATAAGTGAAATCATATGGTATGTGTCTTTCTCCTACTTATTTCACTTAGCATGATAATCTCCAGGACCATCCATGCTGCAACAAAGGGTAAGAGTTCCTTTTTACAGCTGCATAGTATTCCCTTGTGTAAATATACCACACCTTTTTGATCTACTCTTTTACTGATTGGCATTTCATGTGTTTCTAGATCTTGGCTATTATAAATAATACTGCTAGGAACATAGGGGTACATATATTCTTTCTTGGTGTTTTGAGATTCTTAGGATATTTTCTTTTTTTAATATATTTTTAAAGATTTTATTTATTTATTTACTTTTAGAAAGGGAAGGGAGGGAGAAAGAGAGAGAGAGAGAAACATCAATGTGCGGTTGCTGGGGATCATGGCCTGCGACCCAGGCATGTGCCCTGACTGGGAATCGAACCTGCGACACTTTGGTTCGCAGCCCACGCTCAATCCACTGAACTATGCCAGCCAGGGCTGGATATTTTCCAAGAAGTGGAATCTCTGAGTCAAAAGGTAACTCCATTTTTAATGTTTTTTGAGGAAACTGCACACTGGTTTCCACAATGGTTGCATCAGTCTGCATTCCCACCAGTAGTGCACTAGGGTTCCCTTTTCTCCACATCCTGGCCAGCACTTGTTGTTTGTTGATTTATTGATGATAGCCATTCTGACAGGTGTGAGGTGATATCTCATTGGGGTTTTAACTTGCATCTCTCTGGCAATTAGTGACCCTGAACATTTTTTTAATCTATCTATTGGCCATCAGTATGTCCTCTTTGGAGAAGTTTCTACTCAGGTACTTTGCTAATTTTTTAAAATTGGATTGCTTGTTTTCCTGGTGTTGAGTTGTATAAGTTCTTTATATATTTTGGAAATTAACCTCTTATCAGATGTATCATTGGCAAATATGTTCTCCCATACAGTGGATTCCCTTTTTATTTTGTTGATGGTTTCTTTTGCTATGCAGAAGCTTTTTTATTTGTTTCAGTCCCATTTCTTTATTTTTTTCCTTTATTTCTCTTGCCTTAGGAGACATATCAGTAAAGATATTGCTCCCAGGGATGTCTGAGATTTTAGTGCCTGTGTTTTGTTCTAGGATTTTTATTGATTCACAACTTACATCTAAGTCTTTTATCCATTTTGAGTTTATTCTTGTGAATGGTGTAAATGTGGTGTAGTTTCATTTATTTGCATGCACCAGTCCAATCTGCCCAATATCATTTATTGAAGAGACTGTCTTTACTCCATTGTATGATTTTGCCTCATTTGTCCACTACTAACTGACTATAAAGGTGTGGGTTGATTTCTGGACTCTCTGTTCTCTTCCATTGACCTATGTGTCTGTTCTTATGTCAGTACCAGGTTTTTTTTATTACAAGGACCTAGTAGTACAGTTTGATATCAGGTATTGTGAGACCTCCAACTTTGTTCTTCTTTCTCAAGAAATTGCTGAGGCTATTCAGTTCTTTTTAGTTCCATATACATTTTTGGAATATTTGTTCTAGGTCTGTGAAATATGCCTTTAATATTTTAATAAGAATTGCATTGAATCTATAGATTGCTTTGGGTAGTACAGACATTCTAATGATGTTAATTCTTCCTACCTATCAACATGCCATATGCTTCCACTTATATCTTCCTCAATTTCTTTCTTTAATGTCCTATACTTTTCTGAGTACTCATATTTTACCTCCATGGTAAAATTTATTTATAGGCATTGGGAGTTTTTTGATTATTGCTTCAATTTCATTGCTGGTAATCAGTCTGTTTAGATTTTCTAATTCATCATAGTTCAGTTTTACAAAGTTGTATGCTTCCAGAAATTTATCCATTTCTTCTAGGTTGTCCACTTGTTGGCAAATAATTGCTCATAGTATTCTTTAATAATTCTTTGTCTTTTTGTGGTGTTGGTTGTAATTTCCTCTTTAATTTTTTATTTTATTTATTTGGGTTCTCAATATTTTTTCTCAATGAGTTTGGCTAAAGTTTTGTCACTTTTGTTCAATATCGGTTTATCAGGTATCAGTGTATCGGTTTAAATAGACATCCAAATAAATGTACAAATTGTAATTGGTTGATATGCCTTTGACTAAAGAAATTATAGAGCTAATCTTCTGTTGTTTTTTTTTTTAAATTCTATTTTCTGGTAACATTTATTGAAGAATCTGGATCATTTCTTTTTAAAAGAAAATATTTTATTTATTAATTTTTAGAGAGAGGGGAAAAGAGGGAGAAATAAAGGGAGAGAAACATTGATTTATGAGAAAAATATCGATTGTTGCCTCCTCATGTGTACCAGCCTGGGATCAAACCTGCAACCCAGGCATGTGCCCTGTCCAGGAATCAAACTGGTGACCTTTTGCTTTGCAGGACAACACTCAACCAACTGAGCCACGCTGGTCAGGGCAGATTATTTCTCGTGTAGTGTTTCCATTTCTACATTTTGCTGCTCACGTATCTGCCGATTTTTTTCAAATATTCTTTTTCTTCTTATATGGCCTACAAATTAGAGGTTAAAATAGAGGTTTAATCAGATTTGAGGTTATTTCTTTTTTTTGTTTGTGATATTAGCTGTCATTGGTGTTCAGTGACTAGGTTATTAATATATTGTTACATTATTTAAATAATTATATTGACAACTATTACAACACTGTATTTATTTTGAAATTAACATTTTATTGATTAAATTGCTTTACTTATATATTAGTTATTTATCTAATTTTTAACATATTCTCATTTCCATTTGAATTTTTTCTTAGATAATTTCCATATAGTTTATGGTAATAGTGAATTCTTTATGTCCTTAACTATTATTTTCTCTTACTTATAAGGAAGTATTTAGAATAGGTAAAATTGTGGGCTAAAAACATATTTACCCATTAGAATCTCATATATATTGTTTTTGTTTCTTCTAACATCTAGTGACACACATAGATATTCACTGTTCACTTAATACTCTGTTTATTTAAGAAAGTTATACCAAGAAAGCAATGAAAATTATTCATGGTTTTGTGAATTTAAATTCACTTACAGTAAGGCTTTAGGGGAAAATTATATATCTGAAGACTTGTTGTTCCTCATACATATCAAAATTTTGGCATAAAAAGTCAAAAATTTTTAGTTTCCTACCTATTACTTGGGATTCCTGGTTGAACAAAAGCAGAGAAATGGTGAAATTCACTCAAGGAGTCAGAGTGGGTGAAGGCAAATAGTGTCAAAATTGAATCAAGTCTTTGCGATTTTAAGTGAATAGAATAAAATAAGCCCTGGGTAATTTACTCCATGTGTACAGCAATGTCACAATATGAGCTTGGAGAGACCTGCACCGTACTTCTTTAGGGTGCTAGAGATCCAGATGTCAACATAGAAACTGACCTGCATGCTGCAGGAGCACAGTAGTCAATCTGGAGAACAGCTATGATTCTGTGTGTTAGTAGCTGAAGTACAAACAGAAGAAGTCTGAAGATCAGGACAGAAGAAGTCACTCTTTGTGCACTTGAGATAAGACAACTTAACCTTAGTATATAAATGTATAACTTGACAAAACAGATTTTGGGACTTATGTTGTTTTCCCTCTGGAAAGAGGATGAACCTTGGGCTAATAAGCAGGCAGAAAGTGGGGCCTTACAAGAAATAGAACATAAATATGTGCTGGAAAAATGATAGGTTCAAGCCATGACTAACCCTGACCACTTACCTTTTATTGTCAGGTACAAACTAAGGATAAGTACACTGTAAAATGTCATCAGCACAATCACCATTTTTGAAATATCCTGTATCCAGTCATTGTATAAAAAAAACAAAGGATCTGAAAGGGACACTGAGAAAGGTATACAAATTAGAAAATTAAAGTAAGAACTAGGAGAAGAGAATATCTGGAACCAATGTTTAATATAATTTATTTGATCTGATAACATTCTTTTTTTTATATTCAAGTACAGTTGTCTCCATTTTCTCCCCCCAACTCCCCCCCACCCCAGCCATCCCCACCTCCCACCCCTGATCCCATCCCCTTTGGTTTTGTCCATGTGTCCTTTATACATGTTCCTGAAAACCCTCCCCCCTTTCCTCCCATTATCCCCTTCCCCCTTCCCTCTGGTTACTGTCAGTTTGTTCTTAAAATTTCAATGTCTCTGATTGTATTTTACTTGCTTATTTGTTTTGTTGATTAGATTCCACTTATTGGTGAGATCATATGGTATTATTCTTTAGTAGTTATCATTTGAGTACTAAAATGTACTAATTTAATCAACCATCACAACTATATAAAATAGGACCTTTAATATTCTTTTACTATCTTATTAATTTCGAGTTGATGTTATAACAAGATGACATGTGGATGAGTAGAGTGGACCTTAACTTTGGGGGAGCTGTGAATGTTTTGGGAGAAAACAGACTGTCATAGGCAGGGTGGACATCCCCCAAAGAGACTGACTCTCCAATTCCTGGAAATGTAAATATGTTACATTGCATGAAAAAAGAGACTTTGCAGATAAAATTAAGGTTATGAAGCTTAAAATAAGGACATTATCCAGGAACATTTAGGTGAGGAAAATTAATCATGTGAGCCCAGAAAAGCAGAGACTTTCTCTGGCTACAGTCAGACATATGTGGAAGAAGACATAAGAGATTTCAGATGCTGACAGGGACTTGACCTGTTGCTGCTGGCAGAGCATGACAAAAAGCAGTGAAAAGATCCAGGTAGCCTCTTGGCCCCCTGCTGACAATCAGCAAGGACATGGGACTTAAGTCCCACAACTGCAGGGAGTTGATATTGCCCAACAAACTAAATCAATTTGGAGGCAGATGAGTACAGCTTTGAGTATACTCTATCCTGGTATAAAATTCCTTTTCATCACGAGCTGTGAAACTAAAAAAAATTACCTGCCTTAAAATATCATGGTGCAATAAGCATAGGAAAACAGTTGTAGGCATTCCCATTGAAAGGCAGAGAAAATGAGAAGGAAAAAGTAGTTACTACTCTCAAGCAATTTCAAAATTTGGACAAACTCCATTAGGTCTCAAGTCCTGAGGATAATCCTTTGTGAGTCATGGACTGAAGGCTGAATAATGGACTCCGAAGATATTCCACATCTAAGGCATAGTACCATATATGGTAAAAGAGTATTTGCAGGTGTTATTAAGTTAAGGATCTTAGATGGAGAGATGGTTCTGAATATTTTGGCTGCACCCAGTGCAATCACTAGTACCCTTATAACAGGGAAGCAGTTTATTTTATACAGATGAGAAAAAGATGTAAAGACGGAACAGAGAGAGAGAGTTAAAGATGTTATACAACAGGCTTTGAAAATGGAAGAATGGGCCATGAACTGAGAAATGTGAGGATGAAGCTCTAGAAGCTGTAAAAGGCAAAGAAATGGATTTTTTGTAGACCATCTGGATGATGCAGAGTCTTTGTGACACATTGGATTTAGCTGAATGATACCTGTCTTGCTCTGAAATGTTAAGTTTGTGGTAATTTGTTACAGTGGCCATTGGAAAATAACGTGTTTGCAGCTTAGTAGTTTTATTGTCTTATTTTCTGTCAGAAAATTTTGGAAGTTCAAGTCTTTCATTCTATCTTTCTGTCCTTTATAGTACAAGTTGGCAGTGTTTCTGCTGATACAACATTCTTAAGAGCCTTGAAGTTTTCCTGTGTATGTCACAGGGACAAATGCCACTAGATGAGAGATTCCTCCACAGATCTTTCCTGGAAAGCATCATGTTTATTCCTGATTTCTGCTGGTATTGGTGAGGGTATCCATATTTTGATATCCAAAATATGTAAAGAATTTATAAAACTCAGCATAAAAAAACCTATCAAATTAATCCAATTAAAAATTGGGCAGAAGACCTGAAAAGACATTCTCCAAAGAACACAGATAGGTGAAGAACATACATATGAAAAGATGCTCAAAATCACTAATTATCAGGGAAATGCAAGGAAAAACCACAATGAGATATCATCTCACACTTGTAAGAATGCTGTCATCAAAAAGAGCATTGGCAAGAATGTGGACAATAGGAAAAAAAGCCCTTGTGCATTGTTTGTGGGATGGTAAATTGCCACAGCTACTATGGAAAACAGTACTGAGGTTCCACAAAAAAATTAAAAATAGAGCTAACACACAATTCAGCAATTTCAGTTCTAGGAATTTATTTTAAAAAAACAAAAGCACTAATATGAAAAGATAATATGCACCCCTATGTTCATTATAGCATTATTTACAATAGCCAGGATATGGAAGCAACCTAGGTGTCCATCCATAGATGAGCAGATAAAGATGTTAGGTGTGTGTGTGTGTTTATAAATATATATGTTTAGGTGCCTGGCTTGTTTTATATATACATATACACAATCATATATATATATAATTATATATATAATATAATATTACTCGGCCATAGATTTCAGCCATATAAAATAATGAAATCTTGCTATTTGAGATAATATGGATGGACCTACAGGGTATTATGTTAAGTGATATAAGTCAGAGAAAGACAGATATTGTATTTCATTTATATGTGGAATCTAAATAATTAAACTAATGAACAAACACAACAAAACAGGCTCATAGACACACAGTACAAACTTATAGTTGGTAGAGGCTTGAGTGATGGGGGAGATGGGCAAAAAGGTGAAAGAGAGTGAGAGGTACAAACTCATAACATAAATAAGTCACAAGGATGTAACGTATAACATAAGGAATGCAGTCAATAATATCTAATTAATAACTTGGAGGATCAATGGTTTCTAGACTACTTGCAATGATCACTTCACAAGGTATATATAAATGTTAAATCACTGTTTTGTACACCTAAAACTGATATAATATTTTATGTCACCTATAACTAAAAAGGACTTTGTATTTCCGAATGAAAAAAAAAGATAGAATTCCTAGGGATAAAATGACAAAATAGAGTTGTACACTATAAAGCATGAAACATTGTTGAAAGTAATTATATAAAATCTAAATAGATGGAATGGTATCCACATTTTTTTACTCGATGTTTATAACAGAATTATTATTAGTAGCCAAAATTGAAAACAACTCAAATTACATTAATTGAAGAATGGATAAATAAAATGTTCTGTATTCATATAATGGACTATTGTTCAGCAATAAAAAAGAATGAAGAACTGATACATACTAAAACATGAATAAATGTTTAAAATAATATGCTTAGTGAAAGAAATCAGTCAAAGAATAAATATTGTCTGATTCCATTTATGTGAAATGCTTAGAAAAAGCAAATTAAAACCAAGGTGAGATACCACCATGAACACTGATGTAAAGTTAGAGACTACAGGAACCACATATCGAAAACATGAGGGAATAATTGTTCTCTTATCCATTGCTGGTGATGTATAAAGTGATACAGGCACTTGAGCTGTTCGTTATAAAATTAAACATACACATAACACATGATCCAGGTCAATTTCTAGATATCCATTTTTTAAAAAATGCTGATCACAGCTATGTGGTCATTAAACATGAAAATCCCTTTACAATCAGGAATAATTTAATTTGCCTCAGACATCTCTTGCAGTGGTTGAGTTGGCTTATGTCCTGCTCTCTGTAGGAGTGAGAACTGAGACTTAGTTGAAATTAAGACATCCAGGGGAAATGCAACTTGTGTTTACTGTTTTTTCCCCACTTTTTACCCGGGTACTTGATTTGTTTACACTAACACTAATTTTTCTTTAGTACTGAAAAACTGGTCTTTTTATCATTGGTTTGGTAAGTTTGAAGGCAGGGTTTTGCAATTTTCAGTGGAAAGAGTTGAAAAAAGGCCCATGTGTGTTGCTGTTTGAGGCCTGTCAGGCATGAGGAGGAGGATGGGAACTGAGGCACTGAGAGAGCCCTGCTGGTGACCACCCTAACTCTCTAAACTTCTCCTCTGTGATTTGAAAGCAATGACTCAGGTAAAACAGAGGGTGTTTTCCCCCTTATTTGATGGTAAGTATCCTGTATATCCATTTCCTTAGAATCCTCTAGACAATTAAGAATTATAACAATTAAACACAATCTGATTTTAAGCAATTGTTATTTTAAATATTTTATATCTCTTAGAAAATCAAATTTTTATAGAGAAAACTTTTTTGTTGTTAATAAATTAGAAATATAAACACATATTAGCTTAAAAAAAGAATTGTCAAGTGTCAAAATCACTTTTTTGAATATTATTACATTAATCTACCAAATTTACCTCTAAGTGATAGCCTTGTTTTATAGACAATAGGTCCAAGGAAGGATTTCCATGTTCCATAATCCTTCTGGAATTGCATGCAAACTGAAGAGGTATGTATGAATATCACTCTCAGATGGAAAACATTTATGCCTGGCATCAGGTATTCAATATAGGCACTCTGTCCCCAGTAGCCCAGAAACGGTGACTAGAGTCATGAATGTGTACTGTCAGTGGCCCCAGTACAGTGAATGAGTGGTTGCACCCAACCATATTTTCTGGAGCCAGAATGGTTTTCCCTCCTTGCACCAGGAGGTGCTATGTCCTTAAGCACAGCTGAGAACACAGGCCACAGTTTTACAGGACCTTCAATCCTTGACACCCACAACAATCTAGTGTTGGAATTTGGTCCTCTGTAATGTCACCCAAACCACTGTTCTTCTTGGTGATGATGAAAGAGTCACACAGCTTTGGATAAACAACCCAGATTTTCAGGAAAAGGGAGAGTCCCCACTACTAACCCTACTTACCTCTCTTCCGGAATAGCAGATATATAATGGGTATTGTACAAGAGCATACAAAACAGAGTAACTGAGCAAAACTTGTGTTCAACAAATGAATGAGGTCACA